CTATGGGGCCACGAAGCGTGTGAGGGGTGTGCCGAAATGGGTGTGGGTGACGCATGCGGGCGCGGGCACTGGGGCCTTCGGAGCTCCCTATGGAGCCACCTGCCGAGGGTGTGCCGAAATGGGTGTGGGTGACGCATGGGCGCGGGCACTGGGGCCTTCGGTGGAGCTCCCTATGGAGCCACGAAACGTGTGAGGGGTGTGCCGAAATGGGTGTGGGTGACGCATGCGGGCGCGGGCACTGGGGCCTTCGGTGGAGCTCCCTATGGAGCCACGAAACGTGTGAGGGGTGTGCCGAAATGGGTGTGGGTGACGCATGCGGGAGCGGGCACTGGGGCCTTCGGTGGAGCTCCCTATGGAGCCACTAAACGTGTGAGGGGTGTGCCGAAATCGAAACGTGTGAGGGGTGTGCCGAATTGGGTGTGGGTGACGCATGCGGGCGCGGGTACTGGGGCCTTCGGTGGAGCTCCTATGGGGCTACGAAGCGCTGTACTGGGTGGGTGAAACGCAGGGAAGAGGGGGAGAAGGGAGGAGGAGGGGGCGGAGGAGGAGAGGAGAGGAGACGCGGGCCACCGTCTCTTCAAAACGAGGACCCAACACCACAGGATGGTTGGGAAAAAACAACCTGACTTGAATTGTGGAGCGCCTGCGATGTAAAAACACTGTCAGCCATTATTTGTGGCCCAACATTGGACCCAACCTTCCATGTGAAAACACAGAGCGTGCTCATGCGTTCCTGTGCTCATTGCGTTCCCCTCTGGCTTTCCTGAACCCAACGTGCCGCAACTGCAATACCCTCCGCAAATACAAGCGTGTTGAAAAGGCCCCCACCGTAGAACCCCCCCTTTTAAAACAACTTAGAAAAGGCCCCACAGGGTTCTAATTGTGGAGGCCACGGCAGACCCCCCACAATGACAACCCTTGTCTGCAAGGTCGCCACACAAGGATTCCTTGTGCTGCGGCCTTGCAACAAAAATATCTGAAGTGTGGAGCGTCAGCACCATCAAACTACCAACGGTCACAGGCGTTCCCAGCTATTTTTCACATGTGTCCATGTGAACACACACGTGCTGTCCTGTTTTCTAATTGACTTCCTTTCTGGCTTTCCTGGACTCAAGGTGCCGCCACTGCATGTCGCCCACACTTAGAACCTTTTTGCAAGGCTGCTACAAAAAGAACCCCTGTTGCACAGGCTGCTACACAAGCTTTCTAACTGTGGAGGCCAATGCAAATCCCCCACAGCTGAAGTCCTTGTGCAAGGATGCCGCACAAGGACAACTTTTGCAATGGAAATCACAACTGGATTGTAATTGTGGGGCGCCCCCGTGAGAGAAATGCAGAAGAGCTGGGGGAACGATGAGCTGGATATTCAGACACTCGTGAATAATCAAGAGGTGAATCACCATATGATGGATGAACATAAGAATTCAAGTAAATCTACGGACAAAGCTAGTCGATAGCGTGACAATCAAAAAGAACACGCTCAAACAACTCAATGGACGGTCCATCCCTCCGCGCACGTATGATCACGGAATCCAGCGCGACCTAGTTGCCACCCCCCCATGGGGAAGCGGACGCGTGAAAAGACATGCCCCGCGCGCACGCGCCATGCGCATGTTGGGTCCCCCCTGCCCCCAACCGGGGCCCGTGGACACGGAAAAACAAGTGCCCCGCGCGCACGCGCCAGGCGCATGTCGCCCCCCCCCCTTCGCGCACGTATGTTCACGTGAGATGAGCCCGACGCGACCAAGTTCGGTCCCCCCTGGGGGCCGTGGACACGTTTTGAAAATAAGTGTCCCGTCCGCGCGCGCGCGCCAGGCGCATTTTGGGTCCCTCCTCCCTCCGCGCACGTATTTCCACGCATGCAGAATCCCGCGCGCCCCAGGACGCCGTGGACGTGTGACAACACGTGCCCCGCGCACGCGCGCCAGGCGCATGCTGGGTCCCCCCGCGCTCCTCGCACGCAGCTTCGCGTGTACAGAGTCTGGCGCGCCCAAATCGGGTCCCCCTCTTAGGAAGCCCTGGACACGTGCCAGGCGCATGCTGGGCCACTCTGGCGCCCAAACGGGCCCCCCCGCCCCCCCCCCTCCCGGGGAGCCGCTGGCTAGTGAAAAAGCGTGCCCCGCACGCACACGCCAGACGCACGTTGGACCCCCCCCCTCCGCGCATGCCTTTTTACATGCGAAGGCTCTGGCAGGCCTACGTTGGGCCACTCCCTGGGGGCCGCAGACACATGAAAATACCTGCCCCGCGCGCACGCGCCAGGCGCATGTTGGGTCCCCCCCGCGCCCGAATTACGCGCCAAGCGCATGTCGGGACCCCCCGCCGCGCGCGTTCTTTAACGTGTGAAGAACCCAGAAAGCTCTAGCTTGGGTCACTCGCTGGAGGCCGTGGGCATGTGAAAGTACGTGCCCCGCGCGCACAAGCCGGGCGCATGTTGGCCCCCCCCCGTCGCCCAAGTTGGGCCCCCCCCTGGGCGTTCTGGACACGTGAAAATACGTGC